TCGCGTAGCCACACACCCTTAGTGGTGGTTGAACATTTCCGCTGTGATCAGCGTGAACGGAGCTTTCGGCGGAAGTAAGATACGTTGTCCGACGATGCAGCAACGACACTGGGTCGAACAAAAGGGCCAGTCTTAGCACGAGCGAACGTTATCACGTGTCGCGGTATTAACGCGGCAGCCGGTGCAAAGATTTCGGCGTTGCGTTTCGTGCAATCACGATCAGTCGTTTCCGCTTAATTCCGGATAGTATTTAGAGTCGGGCTTAAATTCGAGAATGGGTCGTTATGATACTTCCGGCAACATTACCTGTGAACGAATGGGGCGAGTGGGGGTGGGAGTGGGAGTGTGGGACGCTGGCCAAAACCCCGTTTGAGGAATTCCAACGGGCTACAATTTTCCGGCCACCGCCGGCGAAATTGTTGGATAACTCGTGCCCGCGCACGCCCGCGCCAGCTTGATATAAACTCCGCTCCGGAATATATTACGCCGCGGAGAATATTTCTTAAGGACTTAACGGGCGTGACTCGTATGGTGATAATAATCGTTTTCCTTCCGACCGGGACTTTGCTTGCCGCCGTTTTAATAGAATTTAAAGCGATCTTTCTTCCTCCTCCTCCTCCTCCTCCTCCACCAGTGAAGAAGATTTTCCGCCGTTTAAAACAGTCGCCTTACTTTTAATGGCGCAATATTGTACCAACGGTAGTCAGTTGTCTTCGCGTTGATGCTGCTCAACGTGCGCAAGGGTTGAAAACCGTTTCGGCCCTTCTTCAGGTCACGAGGAATCGAAATTACGATTCGTCGTAACTGTTGTGAATATTAAATATGGTTTCTGGAATCATATTTTTTGTGGCTTCGGTCCTTTAGAATGTTATATTGTTTCGATGAATTGAAAATATTTCATAAAAAAGAGTTTAATATTGTGGAATTATCTTTACCAGCATTATTTTATAGCAACGTGAAAATAGCAGAAGGAAGAAAAGAATATGACTTGGGGTGTCTACAATTAGAAAAAAAATTCAGGGTGAATTCACAAATTATACAGAGAATTATTAAACGGCGAAGAAAATTTCATAATGTCCCCTCGTATATCTCTGGTGCGATATAAAATATTACTGTATTTTAAATAACTTATAGATCATATATTATTCGAAGCTAGCAAGGTAATACTATCAACTTTTCGCTTTTCATTATGTGCTACACAAGCAGTTGATCAGTTGCCCTCTTACCTCCATTTTAAATAGAATTCTATACTTAACTCATGTGTGTTCGAAAAAACTATTAGTTCAGGAGATGTTTGGACTTAAATACTCTCTGTTACACGAAAGACAAGAAACTGGTTAATCCTTATTTTATCCACACGTATGTAATTTTTTTTCATATTATTTGCATTCCTTCGCAACTTTGCGCGTCAAAGTTCCCTCAAGTTACTTAAATTCACAGAAATCCACGATCCAAATAGTAGCTTAAACAAACGTGACAGCTCGGCCAACGTTATATAACGATCTGTTAATCTAACGAATCAGAGGCAATCACGGTCGACTGTTATCCTTCCAGCTGCTAACGCAACGGGCAGATTCCTCGCGGCCGCGATCGATAGCCATGTGGCGTGTGATGCGGATGCAAACGGAAACGCGCGTCGATTCGATCGTCCTTTAATTGACATAACGTACGAGGATGTCAGCCGACGGTATCGCGAGTTTACGCGCGATGAGTTACACTCCCCGGATCCGGTTATTCGGATCCCGGGATGCTTCGATCGCGTTAACGACACGCGTAAACACGGGAAGCAGCACGCGCGAACCGGATCTGCTGCTGGAAACGAACTGTCGCCGCTTCGGAGCTCAGCCGGTGTTCACTGCGGAACACGCGACGCACTTGTTTAACATCCACGTGTCACGGACTACGTCGATTCCTCCTCTGATTCGGGCGTCGGGCGGGCGCGGCTCTCTTCTCCTCTCCCGGCGTCGACCCTCTGCGTCGTCACCCTGCCCCGTCCGGAATCGCGAAATTCAATTTCCTCGTCGCCGTGCTCCGCGACCAATTGCCGGCTCGTCTGCCGCTTTCCACGTCGGGCGTCGAAGAAACACGGGTATATAGAATTTCGGAAAACGAATTCCATTCAATTTCTGGGCTGTTTACTCGCGAGAAATGCGATCTGTTTGAGTCTTGTTCTTCCTCGGAGGTACTCTCGATTCCTCGAGATAT